CATTTAAAAAAATTAAAATAGTCCTATTATTTTCATGAATAGTGTTGCATTTTGTTGTATTTAATATTTTCAACTGTGATTATTGGCATTATTTTGAAGTTTATAAGAAAGATTATTGCGATTATTGCCAATTCCATTGAATTATTGAGTTATTTAATAATTTTTCTTTTTCTGAATTCGTTAAGCACTAAGCAATGATTCATCATTTAAAGCTTAAAATTATACCATCTGTCCAATTAGAATAGTAAATTTGTTCCCTTTTTCCCTTTAGGATTATCAGTCACTATTCAAAATGTAATAATATTGGGGCCAGGGAAATAGCTCAGTAGAATAAGCACTTGCCTGGCAAGTACAAGGGACTGAGTTCAATCTCCTGTTCTGCCAAAAAAATTAATAATAATTATATGTCCTTTGTGGAGTCTGTTAAGTAGACCTTATTAAATTTGTGTGGGTTGACTGCAAATAATTTAGTTCTGATTTTTAAACACTAACTTTCATCTTTCTTTTCATAGCCTATGAGAAAATACCATTTTGTGAATTTTTAAAAACTCAAAAACTAACCCCCAGCCTGCAATATTTTGTGCTGCATTCGATTGCAATGACATCAGAAACAAACAGCAGTACCATAGATGGTCTCAAAGCTACCAAAAACTTTCTTCATTGTCTTGGGCGATATGGAAATACTCCATTTTTGTTTCCCTTGTATGGTCAAGGAGAACTGCCCCAGTGTTTCTGCAGGTAAGCTTCACATTGGTTTTCTACTCTCTTCTAAAGATGAAATTGGAATGAGATGAAAATTACAACAACAACAAAAATATTTATTCAGGTTGTAGTATTTGCAATCATATTTTATTTTACTTTCTATAATCTGTTAGCTGCCTTATCTAGTAATCTAAGTGATCTATTCAGTTTGACCTTTCTTGTGCTTTATAAAAGATATCTCAAATTCCTTTTTTCCCCCATCTACTTTGTGCTTTAAAGTATCATCTTTATGTTCAATTATGTTTATTGTTGCAGTGTTTCATTGGAAACATATCACAGTCTTTTCCCTTTTTTATCAGTAAACATAGGATATTTCTAGATTTTTGCTGTCAGCATCATTGCTTGTGTTTCTGCATATATGTGTTCAAGAGTTTCCCTAGGGCATATATCTAGAAATGGAATACTTTACTCATGGAATATAGGACTATGTCATATTTTGCACCATAGTGGCCAGTTGTTTCTCCAGACATTTATATCAGTTACATCCTACTAACAGTGTATAAGCATTTACATAGCTTTGGATGTTTGCTA